CTTTAGTGAATAGTTTTGGCGTATTCTGCTTTAGCTATCTATTTTCATAGCTGCCAGAAACATGTCAGGTTCTGTTTCTGTATGTCTATGGGTATGAATGTCGAAGACAACAAACAGTAAGTATGTCTGCATGTGCTTATAAACTAAGGAAAAATACAGTTTATGAACTGTTTATAAACCTGTAAAAAAAAAACACTACCAAAATGCTTAAGGATAGTTCCCACAAATCCAAATTTTGGTTACATTTTTTGCTGTTAATAGTAGAGTCTCTGAAGCACAGGTTAGTTCGGAGAGAAAGGGAAAGAAGATGTTCCCTGGCCTTCTGTCAGATCCCAAAACATGCCACAACCTCTCCTGTCCCAGCCCTTTGTGATGGGTGTTTCCACTGTTGAGTCTTTCCCTCACCTGCTCCAATTCTCTCCCCTTACTTTTCAAGTCACAACTCAAATGTCACTTCCTCAGGCTTTCCCCAGCCACTCTCTCTGAAACGGCCCTTTGAACGCTCTCATGAACCCCGTTTATTTATTTCTCCACATAGCAAAAGATGTTGAAATTTTACTCTCCATGTTTTTCCTTCTTTGCCACACTTTAAGACCTTTCCTGGACCCTAACAGTGCCTGGGAGAATAAGGGTTCTTATAGCAGAAATGCAAAGAGAAAAAATATTTGGCATCTGTAACTTTCAAACCAGTTTCTTATGGGAAGACCCAGAGAAAAACCCAAGGCAAGACAGTGACAGGAGAAGCAGATGACCTGCCCTCCACAACTTTCAAACTCTAGTTGAGAAACTCCTGGTTGGGACATTGGAAAAAGCTGATAGAGGTCAGGGGCCATTAAAAAAAAAAAAAAAAAGATTGAGGGAGGGGAAACCGAGGAGAGTATTTGGTGGAGAGTTAGCCCATGAGAAGGTCCAAAGAAACTGGCTCTCCATTCATAACTGCCTATGCAACTCCAATATGCAACCCTATACTATGAGCTTCCATCTAGATTGTCCAATGTATACACTTCTGTTGTCCACAACCCAGGACACGCATAAGCCCCTTTAATACAAATGGTGAGATCTTTGCCATCTTCCCCAAACAGAGAACCAGTAGTGATGATGGAGGGAAAGTCCCTTGGGCCAAGCTGGACAGCAAGAAAACCCATATTAGTTACCCTAATATTATTTTAATCACAATATGTAATCACTTTTTGTATAAGTAGTAATTTACTTTGTTCTCTCTGTGTAGTGTAAAGCCCACAAGAATACAAAGCTGATTGCCCTTTTCTCTGGTGTAACCTCAATATCTAAAGCAAGGCCTGGGCCCATATTTTTTGAATGGACAAATCAAGAGTAATCTTAACTATGGAAAACATTAATTATAGATTTTTACATTAATAGTTCAAATACTGTCCATAAAGTACCTCAAAGTTACCTTTAAGGACTAGGAAGTATGAGTCATTTAGGAAAACTTTAAACAATTTATAATTAATAAATCACTTACTTATAAACATTCTTAAAATTTTATGTTGTTTTTATTATATTTTATTACCACAGTGTTGTACTTAAAACTAGCAAACATTATAAAACTTTTTATCATGGAAAATTTCAAACATATACAAAAGCAAACAGAATAGAGTCATAAATCCCTCAGGCATCCATTACCCAGTTTCATATTTATCAGTTTATGGCCAATATTGTTTTATATATACTTTCCCCTTTTCCCGCATCTTCCACTGAATTATTCTGAACCAAATCCTAGGAATCATATTATTTCAGCACATATTTCAAAGGACTCTTAAAAAAGAAAAACCACAGCCACTAACATGCCCCCAAAGTTAACATAAATTATCATCAAATATCTAGTTAGTGCTTTTACTTTTCTGATTGACTCGTGTTTCTTTTTCTTTTTTTTTTTTAAAGATATGTTTATTTTTAAAGAGAGGGGAAGAGAGGGAGAAAGAGAAGAAGAGAAGCATTAATGAAAGAGAGTAACACCTATCGGTTGCCTCTCACGCCCCAACAAGGGACTTAACTTGCAACCCAGGCATGTGTCCTGACCAGGAATCAAACTGGTGAGCTTTCATTTCGTGAGATGCCCAACCAACTGAGCCACACCGGTCAGGGCTGTCTAGTTTCTTTTTCACAATGGGTTTGTTCAAATCAGGTTTCAATCAAAAAACAAACATTTCATATGGTTAATATGTCTTGCTGTTTTGCATTTTTGAAGTTCAACTATTTTTTGAAGATTTTATTTAAATATTACAAACATAAAAATAAGTAAACCGTAAGTGTGCAGCTCAATTAATTTTCAAAAACTGAACATGCCCACATAAAACGCATCCCGCAAGCCCCTTGCCCCTGCGTTATTCTCCTTTTCAGCCACTGCCGCCCCCAGTGTAACCCACTAATCTGACTTCTAATACAGTAGATTCATTTTGCCTGGTTTTCAACTTTATATAAATATACTCATACTGTACATACTCCTTCACCATGGGCTTTTTTCACCATGTTTGTGAGATTCATCCATATTGTGAGTGTAATTTTCGTTTGTTCATTTTCTTTGTTGTATAGTATTCTATTGTATCAATATTTCCCAGATTATTTTCCCTTTTTGTGCATTTTGGTTTTGGTGGGCATTTGGATTGTTTTCAGTTTGGGACTATTATTAATTTAGCTGCTGTTAACATTCTAGTTCTGTTGGGTACATAGCTAGAAGCAGAATTGCTGGGTCACAGCGTATGCTTATGTGCAACTTTAATAGATACTACCGAACAGTTTAACAGGACCTATTTGTCTCCCCTCAGGCCATGATGACATTATCTCTATTATTATAACTTAATAGTAACTTATTATTTGGTAGTGTAAGTGGTCCAGATTCCTCTTCCAGATTAGCTTGGGTCTTGCTGGCCCTTTTCATAAATATAAAATTTTATAAACACGTTGTCATAGCTTGTCAATTCCATGTCCCCTTTAGTCCATAGGCTTCTCCTTTCTTTTTTATTTTTCAATTTATTTTCAAAGAAATAGGGTCATTTGTTCTATAGTGTTCCAAATGTTCTAATTTTGCCAATTATATCCTTAAAATGTGATTGAACTATTGTTCCCTGTATTTCCTATAAATGGTAGTTACCCCTATAGGCTTAATCAGATTTAGCAAACATGTATTTGACAACCATTAACTAAGCACTCTGCTTGCTACCAGGTGAGATACAAAAATGATGAAGACATTCTTAGTCTACTGCTTCTTACAAGTGTGGAAGGTTAAGATCCAAATAAGCACCTTCTGAGTGGCAAACCACTCTGGCAGTTCAGATCAGAGATTGGTTTCTTCCAGCGCGGTATGTGAGGAATGGAAATAAGGAAAAGTTTTGTCAAGGCAATGCCATTTCAACAGAGCTTAAAAGTTGCCAGAGCATTGACAAGTCAGGATTGTTGTAACCATTCTCTGTGAATTAGACTTTGTAGAGGGTGGAGGTAGAGGCTGGAAGGGTGGGGTAGTTAGGGGATCGAGTGGTGGCTCCCCCAAAAGATATGTCCATGTTTTAATCCTAGGAGCCTGTGTTACACTATTTGGAAAAAGGGTCTCTGCAGATGTAATTAAGTTAAGGGTGAGATGAGATGAGATCATCCTGGATTACCTGGTTGTGCCCTAAATCCAATGACAAATATCTTTATAAAAAAACAAAAGGAGAAAGATACACAGAAGAGAAGGCAACGTGAAGATGGAGACAGATTGGAATGATGTAGCCACAAATTAAGGAAGTTGGGATCTATCAGAAGGTGGAACAGGCAAAGTAGGGATTCTCACCTAAGATCCTGTAGGGAGTGCGGCCCTGCCAACATTTTGATTTTGGGTTTCTGGCCTTCAGACTGTGAGGTAACAAATTTCTGTTGTTTTAAGCCATTGTGTTTGTGGTAATTTGTTATGGCAGCCACAATAAACTAACACAGGGGCTAGAATGTAATGTGGTGGAATGTCACCTTGCGCTTCATCTCCAGTACCTCAGTATTCCTACATCCAAGGTTTGCCTTTAGCTGAAATCCTATTGTAAAAAAGACCCCTTCTACCTCTCTGATGAAGCATCCACTTGATTAAGAAACCCTCTTCCTAATTCCCATTTGTAGCAATAATAGGGAGCACTGTTTTTGGCTGCAGTCTTACATCTACCACATCAGAAACCTAAAAGCACTTGAGTTAGGGAATCACCATCCCTAATTGCACTCTTCCTTAAAGACCCCCGTATAATAATGTAATACAAAGTCAGATCCAGAACGTTTATCAATTAGGTTCTTCTTGGATGCAAAATACCATAATGCCATCAGGGGAAAAGTCTTGTCTTACAAATAATGATTGAAGTACGCTGACCATAGTTGTAGTACTACATGCATGTGTGGGTTGTTTTCTAATAGGAGTAAAGAGTAGTTTCTACTCTGAATTTAAAGTCCACAAAAGCCTTGTTTTGCCATGGCCTGTCCCAGATCCATCTTGCTCTTAGAAGGGCAGCTATCTTCCCCAGGATGGAAACTTCTCACAGGGTCCGGGCCTCCCACTGGGGGACCCAGGTGGTCTAACTCGCCCCCAAACCTCTAACACCCACCCCTCACCAGCGGTCCACGTCCCCGCCGTGCTCTAGAGGGAGCCCTCGGGCCTTTCAGGGACGCGTTTTCCTTTCTTCAGGAAGGCAGCCTCGTCCGCGGACTTTGTTCCAACACCTGCACGGTCGGCCGGGGTGACAGCCAATGGGGGTGCCTCCACCAAAAGGGCCTCTCGTGCCCTCACAGTACTGGCGAGCTCCCTCGCCCTCACAAACACAGTCAGATACAAACCGCCGCCCTCATTTGTGCTGGTGTGAGTAAGCCGGGACCCTCCCGACTTGAAAAAACCTGCTTGCTGAGCTCCCGCACCTCCCCAGCCAGACTTTATCCAGCCCCTTGGCTCAGGCCTGGGACGCTCGCCGTCCCCGCCCAGTCGGGCGCCTAGCAAAACCCGGAGCAGCGGCTACTCGGTGGCTCCCCGGAGGCGGCGCGGCGCGGCGGACTGAGCATGCGCAGTGGGCCAGGCCGGCTCTCGGCGCTAGAAGGAAGCGGTCGTTCGCTGTGATCCCGGCGGCTGCGCTGGGGTATGCGGTACCTGCTAGCGTGGCTGCTGCATCCCGCTTTGCCCAGCACCTTCCGCTCGGTCCTCGGCGCCCGCCTGTCGCCGCCGCAGCACCTCTGTGGGTAAGCGGAACACGGCGCCCGGGCCCTTGGGGCCCGCGGGTCACAGTGGATTGGAGCTCGGGTTGCAAAGTGGTGATTCAGCACTTAAAGCTGCCGCCGACGCCCCTCACGCCGCCAGTCCCGCCGGCCTGGGGCCCCGGCGGCCGCTTTGAGGTCGCTCCAGGGCTCAGAAGGGCAACTGTCCCGGCGGGAGCGAGGGGCCTTGCCGGGAGAGGACGGCGTCCGTCGGGCCGGTGAGAGTGGATGGGGGCCGTGACCGGGGAACACGCGGTGTGTGTCATAAGTGTGGGGGCGCGGTACGCCGGCACGGACGCGGACGGAGTCACCCCGGCTGTCTCCTGGGATCCGCGCCGCGCCACTCTCCGGCGAGTCTGCCTGTGAGAGGCTGGGAACCTGAGCGGACTGCCCCTTGCCTTAGGGTCCAGGGACACCACTTTCCTTTCAGCCCTGCTTTTTCCTACGGGGAATTAGTTTTCACTACTTCATGGAAATGTCTGCTCTGGGAACCGTAAAAGTTTGCGTGCGTCCGCTTCAGCGGGTGGACGAGTGTTGGATTACCTGTCCAGGGGAATTTGGGAAAAGATACCTTGGGATCCATCACAGCAGTTCCCTTGTTTTGTACCAACCGATGCCCAGAAAGACTGGGTGATTGCCTTACAATTGCAGAGATTGTGACAAAAACCAAGATTGGGACGCAGGTTTTTTGCCGTCCGGCGGCGTGCTTGCTGCACTTCGCTGCTCTGTATATACTAAAAAATGTCAGCCTTGTAGTGAACGCTGAATAATCTTTATTGTAAATAAAGAGGAATCGGCAAAGATGGGCAGTATCAGCTTGTTCTACATCATTTGAACCCTTTTGGTTTTAATAATAGGGCCTACCAAGTGCAGGTGATACAGACCCTCTGTGTATGTGATCTGCCGCCAAGGAACTTGGTCTTCGCTGGAACAGATTGAGCTGCCAGGAGTGTATAGCCAGCTAATAAAGATGTTTGAGGAGAGTCAAAAGATAGTATGGGCAATGTGTGCTGTGGGAGCACAGTGCAGAGCAGAGATAAAGGAGGGGGTCTGGGCTGACCTTTGAAGGAAAAGCAGAAGGGGGTGGAGGATGGTCAGGGGTGGTTGTAATCCAGGCTAGGTGTGCAGATTAGTCTGTTTGTTGGGGGGAAAGTGGGCAGATTAGTCTAGTTGGAGCCTTAGAGAACCTCTGTGGGGGCATTAAGAGGAAACAATCCTGTATTTTAAAAATGGGATAATGCGCTCGCCTGGGCTTTGAATTTTACTTGGGCTTTCTCCAGGGAATAGGAGGTAGGGAGTCATTAAATGTTTTTGAGGTGGGGAGTGATCTAATGAAACCGGTAGGAAATTAGTTTGGTGGCTGTGTGTGCAGAATGCAAGGGAGTGGAGCGACCTGAGGCCGAGAAAAGGTTGGGACTTAGGCTTTACTGCTTGGACTAGCAATGGCAGTAATGATACTGGGAAGGCTTAATGCAAATGAAGGATCCGTGGGACTTGTTTTTCCTCCTATATTTCCCTGCTGCATCCGCTGCAACATGCAAAAAGATCCCTGAGCTTAGAGAATTGCTGGTAAGCATAGGCAGAGTATGTCCCTGGGCCTCCTTCAGGTCAGAACAATTTTTTGTTCCTAATCTGTTGCTAACAAGTTGTATATAGCTTCCTATTGTCTCCAGTGTACAGAATTTGTGATCTCAAAAAAAGTATCAATTTTAAGTTTTATACAAATAAAAGGTTTGTATGTTCTACCTACTATTTGATTTTTCTCTGTGGTTTTCTCCCACTGCTCTTCACTTTCATTGGTAAAATCCAGGGCATGAGTTGAGCAACCACATCTTCAAGATAAGGTTGTTTTCAGAGAGGGAAATTGAGGAGGTTCAAAGGATAATGAATGAGGTTAACCATCTAGAATGCTCACACTAAAAACTAATGGCTGAGGCTATTAAGAAAAGTGCAGGTCCAATCAAAAGGATTAGGGTGTAGGATTTTGGGGGTTTTTTAAAAGATTTTTTAAAGATTTTATTTATTTATTTTTAGAGATAGGTGAAGAGAGGGAGAAAAAGACAGAGAGAAACATCCATGTGCAGATCGAAATTGTTTTTGCCTCTTGCATGCCCCAAACCTGGGTCCTAGCCCGCAACCCAGGCATGTGCCCTGACCAGGAATCGAACCCTTGTAGTTTGCAGGACACCCAGTCCACTGAGCCACACCAGTCAGGGCCAGGGTGTAATTTTAGGAAAGAAAGTACTAACAGCTGAATCTACCACAAACTCATTTTAAGGAAGGTAATCAACCTTACATGGTCAAAAGAATATATTAAGAGAGATGGTTACATTGCTGTTTATTGGAAGAGCTGGGATTTAACCTGTGTCTGTCTGGTGCCTGAGTTTTTAAGCTGCCTTTGCCAGTGTTATGGCATTCATTTCTTGTTCTTACCTTTTGAAAAAGAGGCGATCTTAAAAGCATTTGTATAAGATCAGTTCATTTGAAAAGTAGCATCGTCGTCCTCTGTCCAACCAGATTGGATAAGTTTGGGCTGTGTGGAATTATCTGAATTATTGGAGAGCCTAGAGGTAAGAGCCCAGTCCCTGACAGTCATTGAAACACGTGGGCATCATCAGCTCACTTTGTAGGCAGCTCTACCATACATTTCTCTATTCTCCAGGCTTAGGAAACAGTGGTGTGCAAGGTAGGACTAACTAGCTATTAAGATTCAGGCTATTAAAATACTTTTAACCAGAAAAATGGGTATTTTTAACTAGCATTGTTAGTGTAGTCCACATGCTATAAAAAGTTATTTTCTGTCTGCCTTAAAGGGTTGGGGACAGTCTCACCAGGGAGCAGTGTAGGGAGTAGAAGGTCAGTATATGTTTTTATAAGAATTGGTTTTCTTTCTGTTTTTCCTGTTGGTATTTTAGATCTCCTAAACAGGTGCCCAGAGGATCAGCCTACCTTTTAGCCAAGGTGACAAGGCTAAAGCACTCTCCTCCCATAGGGGTAGGTCCTCTAGGTATTTTGGGTTCTGAAGGCTAGGGTGGGGTATTCCTAACTGGCTTGTCTTCAGTCTGTCCTTACTCTTGTTCAACCATTATTTGAATGTCTACTGTGTAGTGATAATTCACTATGCTCAGCACTGTGGTGGATACAAAGACAGTCAGTGATAAATTTTGTCCTCAAAGAGCTTTCAGTCCAATAATGAGTAGTTTCCCTCCTTTACCTCTGACCTTTTAATAAACACCTCTCCTTTTGTGTCCTGTTGTTTCTTTTATTTTGAAAAGCAACTTAGTATTTTTATCACTACTCTTTCTTATTTTAAAAGTGGGACTTAAAAAATTCTTGTAGAGTCGAAATCTATAAAAGCTTTTATTTCCCCCTCCCCCAAAGAACTGTATAGTTTCTCTTTGCCTAGTAGAAGTATATAACTGTTTAAAAAACAAAAGTGGGGCTCATGAGCTGCTCCCTGAGGGGAAAATACCACACTCTGCCTGACAGACGTTTATTGGATGAATGATCTTCCTTCAAAATCAGCTTTCTATTGATTTCCCTAATTTTGCATATGTTGATATTATCATTTTCTTAGTTTAGCTTGAAAATTGGTATAATCTTTGAATCTCTCTTTTTCTCTCTGCCTATTCTCAAGACCAAACTCTCTTGAGTCTTTCATCCTAAAATTTCTTGAGGTAAACTTGATCTTTCATCACTATCCTAGTTCAGGCCATGATAATTTTCTCTGACATCTCACATCTGTAAGTTTTATAACTGATTTTTACAGCCTTCTGTCTTCCTACTTTTAATCCTAATTATCAGATTAATCCTACTAAGATACACTTTCCCCATGCCATTGTCTTGCTTAGACACCACCAGTGCTTCTGTACTATTTCCAGATCAAGTCCAAACATTTTGACCCAGTATTTGAGCATCTCAGGGGCTGGCCCTAACCTGGCTTTTCAACCTTTCTCCTTGTCCAGTCAGACTCACTAACTTACTGTCTCTTGCACCTGATCTATTCATTCCCGATTTTAGAATGCTCTTCCCTCTTTATACGACTAATTCTGGCCTTTTAGACCTTATACAACCTGTACAGTTATCTCTCTTTTTTTGAACAATGATTTGAAGAGATTTTGAAACATCCATTTGAAATTTAATCATATACCGCCTCGTATGTATTTTTTTCTATTTTAGTTATTTAATATTATACATGCTAGAGTATATAGGACAAAGGAGAATAACAAAATGGATGCTTGTATACCCACCATCTAGTTTAAGAATTAGAACATTTCCAGTAACTTTGAGACCCTCTGTGTTCACCTCCCTATTGCAACTTTCTCCCTCCACTGGAGAGGTGATGTTATCCTATATTTGGATAATAATTCCCTTGATTTTCTTTATACCTTTATCAACCTGAATATATTATGGTGTTCAGTTTTGTCTGCTTTTGACATTTGTAATTTTCTTCTCTAAGTTACTTTTTTCATTTAGCATTATTTTTGAAATTCATTCACATAGATATATACATTCACTGCTGATTGTCTTATGTGAATATGACACTAATTATTTTGCTATTCTATTGTTGATGGAGATTTGGGTTGTTTATTTTTTGTTTTTCTATCACAAAGAACCTGTGTTGGTGTGCCCCAGTGCCCAATCTTTGGATACCTTCTCTGCCTTCATTCACTCATTTCGGGTTCTTATCCAAAGACATTACTTTAAGTACTATCTGTGTATGTTTTGCTCAGTATGTGGCCATGAGCCACATGTGCTTATTTAAATGTAAATTAACTAATATTAACAATTCACTTTCTCAGACAACCTAGTCACAGTTCAGTCTCATGTAGATGGTGGCTACCATATAGGACAGTGCACATACAGAGCATAGCCACTATCACAGAAGTTTTATGAAACTGGCCTGATCTGTGTTATAATAATTCCCAAATGTATATCTCTAGTCAGAACCTCTTCCCTGAATTTCAGACTTAGGTAATAAATTT